TTAAGACACATAAGACGAATAATCTTAACAAGTTTTAGTGTGTGTAAATTTATTATAGTTGACAAATACGCACTTTTTAAATATTTTTAAAATAATTTTATAAAGATATATAAAAGGCAAGCAATGCAACAGATTAACATAATTAGGGCACCTGATGATGGCACTATGATGCCGAAACATGTCGTGAAGTAACAGGTGAAAGTGAGTGCACTACAAGACGGCCACTGTATACATATCATGGATGAAAATCAGTGCAACAGGACGCTAAAATACAACATTAGTTCACTATATGAATGGTACCACTGTACCCCCCTTTGTTCTATAAATATGCATCATGCAGTCTGGTTAGGCAAGGCCAGCTGCAAGGAATGAAGTGGTCAGCTGTGTTGTGTCATGACCAGTGGAGAGTGTATTTACTTCAAGCCAAATCAGAACAAAGTTTTATCAGCTTCAGAATTAGACACTGAAAATGCATGTTTTTCCTTTTCTCAATTCTGTGGTAAATGACAGAATTGAGAATAGCACATGCACCCACTGGGGAGAATATGCAGAACTATAAGTGACAAGAAAATTTCTGAATGCAATGATAATGTGTAGGAATAACACAAGGAAAAGGATAGGTTGATTGTCAATCAGAATTCAGTTAGTTGAGGGACTCTCTGTGAAATATTCTAACGCTGTAGAACACAAAGTGCCTGGTCGACATTCATCTGACAAAACAGTGTCCCGTCTAAGGGAAAGAAATTTTATAAGCAAGATTCCACCAACTGAAGAAATCAAGACAACAGAAACGTCAAGTTGTGTCAAAAACTGTGTGATGTGGGACTCTGTGTGGAATATTTTCATGACTAACACACCCAGCTGAACTTCTAAGGTAATATGATACTATCATTCATAATATTTATAGGCTTACTGTGCCAAAAAATAATTTTAAAGCAGTGTGGATCACTACACCGATTCTATATACATTTCTGAACGGAGTGTGAAAATTAGAAAAACAGATAAGAAATTTAAATGCCTGCCGGTGGTGAAGGGTTAATCAGTTGAATGAACATCTTGGACATCACAGAATTTTCAGGTTAATCAAGAGCCCCAAGCCATACTATAATTTTACTTTATTACTTACAAAGCAAAATTGCCGCCCGGCCCTTCAGAGCGGTGATGAGGTATGTTGATTTTTCTTTGTCTGACCATCAGTTGTGTTCTGCCACGGTCTTGATCTGTCGCTGGAACACGCTCCACGTTGAATTGCCATTAAATGTTGGTGGCTGAGTTGTGCCTGCGCTGACCGTGGGTGTGATTCCCCTCTTGGTCCTCATCTGTACCATGTCCAACTGGGCCTGGAAATCGTGTTTGGTTTCGTCAATTGCTGCGCAGGTTTCATTATAGTTTTTCGTCAGGTTTTCCTGGAGTTTATCTGCCCGTGCGCTGAGGGAAACTTCCACTGACTGCAGTTCCCTTGTGTTTTTCCAGTTCTTTCCGTAAGCTCCTGAAGCTTTACGTCTGTCCTGGCTTGGTTGACGTTCATCATCTCCTTCAGTTCTCTTCGGTTGGCCTGTCTGTCATCCTCCAATCTGGCCAGCAATTCCTTGAGGCCGATCTCCGCCTTTTCTTGATAGGAGTCTAATTTGGCCATTAAATCTTCTGTGTCTTTTTTTCTATTGGCCTCCATTTTGTCCTTCTCGGTTTTTGTATTGGCCTCTGCCTTCGCTTGGTTGGCGCGTAATTTTGCCATCATTTGTTCTTGGCCAGCTCTGATTTCCTTGAGCAGCATATCCATCATCTGCTGTGACTCCATTTTGTGGCAGTATAATACTTGATGCACTTGTAAATTTGAATATTCGTCGAGGTTTGTTCAAGTTCGTAAACCACTTCTAACACCAGTGTAGTGTGTTTCGTTACTGAAGACGCCGTTCGGATTGTTAATTGGTTTATTTAAGAACCTACAAGTCTTGACTACAATTAATTATGACACTGTTACGGGTTTACACACTTTACAAACCCTAAACACAAATCTGTCCACACTGTCCTCAGTAGTCTACACGTATTCACAGTACGATACAGGAGCTATTCCAGTGTCACTGTGTTGCACACTCCCAATCACTTCTCAGTTGTCACAAATTATCACTGAGTATCACACAATAACTCTTCTGATCACCCGCTCGAGTCTTCTCCCTGCAATCGTTAAACTGCAACTCACTCCGTGGCTGCTGCCTTGAAAACTCACTTTGGCGGCTGATACACTTTAACTGGCTCGTAGGCAGTGTAGTTCTCTTATAAACCCTCAGCCGGACAATGGGAAATGCCTCGCTTCCTTGTTGCCTAGTCACCGTGTTTGCCTGTTACATAATGGGCACCACTGTTTATTACTGTCGTCTCTAGCAACCACTGTTTACTCGCTTTGCTTAGCAACCGCTGTTTACTTGCTTTGCATAGCGACCAGTGTGCTTGGACTCGGCTCACTTCGGCTCCGCTTGGCACGTCACCACT